ATGTATGGAACAATATAGATTTTTTTAAATTTATTTTATCAACTTGTCTTCTGAAGATGCTCTGTGTTGAAGGATCAATGGGATGATCCACTGAGAAACTTGCTGTTTCAGCAACATTTAATAAAAAAAAACTATACTTTTGAGGCTCAACAAATGTTCATAATTAATTTAAATAAATTACAAGTTTAAAAGGGCATGGAGAGGTCTCTTTTTATATCAAAAAAGTATTGAACCGTGAGACTAAAGTATTGAACCGAACCAAATTGATAATTTTATATGTATAATTAMCATAACAGGTGTTTTTGTTTACCTTTCTGGGGAGCTCTGTTGTTTTTTAAATCCTGGTGGCAGGGCTGGCCCAAAGAAACCATCATCATCATCACCTGTGTTCACACTGATGGGAGAAAAAATACTTAGTTTTGTTTGTTCAAATGTTTTATTTACATAAAAAACATCAGTAATAAACTCACTCTGGTCCTTCAGTTCTGGCTCTTTTGACCTCCGGTTCACTTTCATCCGAAGAGCTCGACRGGTCGCCCCGGTTATAACCGGGAGGTAAAGCAGGACCAGCGACTATTGGGTTAAAAATAAAATCAGATGTAAATGTGAAAAAGCAACATGCTAGTATGTTAGCATAATAGCTAAAATACATTTATCTTACAATCTTTGTCGCTGTCGTCGCTTTCAGAGCTCTCTTTTCCGAACATCGGGGGTAAGGCGGGTCCAATGAGCTGATCAGAGTTCATACTTATCAAAAATAAATCACCGCCGCGAGTTCAGGAGCTGAAAAACTGCAAAACAAGTMGCGCTTGACCTATGACCTTTCAGCCAGGAAGTAAACAGTTGAAGCGGAGGTGTGCGCATGCGCTAACAAAAATAAAAGCACAAGCGGAAAATAGTTGTCAACATTAAAATTAGACATTTATCTGAAATGTGTATTTGTTATTAATAATTATTGTAAATAGTTCTGTTTTGATATCTAGGGAAGTATATTTAAATAAACATTCAAATACCTTCTTCGAATCAAGTATGATCAGTCATATTATATAGAAAGTAAAGAGATAAGTTTAAGATTATATCTTAAACTAATCTCTATACTTTCTACATAAAATGACTGATATACTGTATATATA